AGAAATCTTCTTTCAATAATTGACATTGCTGATTCTATTCTTTATAAAATTTAACTATCTGTTTTTACACAGATAAAATTTTGGCTTACACGTGTTCCTGCAGTAGCCAATGCACTTTAGAATGATATAGCAAATCCACACTGAATACCTCATCTTTCAACTTTAACATGTTACGAAACTATGATGCCTTGTTGCATTTGCACAAATATAGTCAACAATACTTATAACATTGCAAGTATTACTTAAAATAATAGCTGTAGCACAGAGATTTTGCTGGTGCAAGATACAATGAAAAGAAATGAGAGCATCTGGATCTCTTAATACTTTTTATCTGTGTGATAAACTCCTCATGTTTTCCTGTCATGGAAGGTGCACCATCTGTACATACACTCACTAAATTTACCAAATTCAGTCCAACTTTACCACATTTATCTTGAAAGTTATTGAAGATATCTATTTCCCATGTTTTGTTCATAAGAATGCCCAAAGTGAATAACTCACTGTAGCAAAGAAAATCTTCTGTTATGACCTGAATGAAGTATAAAATCTGTAGCGAGTCAGTAGTATCAGTTGATTCATGCAAAACAATTGAATAATATATACTTTCCATTTGAAGTATTACATGAAATTAATTAGCTGAAGGCTAATTAGTGCTGCTGATCAGTTATGGTGCTCCTTGAAAGAGGCAGTTGTTTGTACTTTAAAACATTATTAGGGTCTAAGCATCCTACAACTTTGACAATGCATTCTTTCACAATTTCTGCATCACTGAATGGCTTCCCTTTTCCCCCAAGTATATAAGCTACTTTAAAAGTTGCTTCAGTAGCATATTATTAATATTTCCAGGTCTTATTTCTGCTTGAAAAAAATTGTCTTTGCTTTTGCTTTTTGTCTTTAAATTCTTGCAATACATCCATGCCTTTCCCTCTAATTTAAAATATTTGTGGTCGTTATGAATGTTATAATGCTGATGAGCATTGAATTATTTTAATGTTGATATTGCAGTATCACAAATCAAGCAAATTATCTTATCTTTAGCAGAAACAGGATAATATTGCAATTCCCAAACCTCATTACAAAAACCATTTTCTTCCTTTAGTGTTCTCTTGGTCTTCTTTGACCTGTTGGGCTGTTAAGCAGACAGAATTAAAAAATACCATCAAGCTGTGCAACTATTCACAAATTCCGCTTCAAGCAGAAACACAGTGCACCACTGTCAAAAGCTGATAACAGACTGGCATACTCGACTCGCATAAACTCTCGCCAACCAGCCTGATGTGGTCATGGTGCCAGTCAGGCAAGGGAAGTTAGAACTGAATCATGAATGGAGCAGCCATCAGTTTAGCCCTTATGGCTTACTAATGTTCTAATTGTGCCAGCCAATCTGGGAGATTATTTTATTGCAACTTATTTTATTCTTTGGTGTTTTCAATATGTTCACTTAAAAAATAAAATAAAAATATAAAAGATGAACAAAATGTATTAATAAAAATAAAAGGACTTGTTCTGTAAAACTTGGATTCAGTCAAAAGTCCACACTTAAGGACCTAGAAGGCCACATGTGGCCTTAAGACCACAGGTTCCCCATCCCTGGACTAAAACATTATAGTGTATCAATCTTTGTAAGTCACATGTAGAGACATAATCACATCTAAGAATTCCCCCGAAAGTATGTATGTTCTATAACTGTTGTCTCATAGCACTTACCTTAGTTATCTTGTTTAATTCCCTCAAAAAGACATGAAACACCAAGGATTATCTAATAGTGTAACATAGAACAATGATTTCTATAGAGTAATTCCTCTCTCCCTATTTTACACATTGCTGTCTTTTTGCCAAAATGCCAGAATGTTTTACTTAATCCATGCTACCATTGTAGTGTACAACAGAGCAACAGAAGAGAGTCATCTCTAAAATTTTGCCTGGCACAGATTTGTGCAGAAGCAAATTGCTAACAGAGATCATTTCAGCTGTGGAAATACAGTTAAAGGAGAGCTTGCCTATTGTAGGCAGTTGCAGAGAGAAAAAATCTTAAGGAATTAGTTTAAAAACTCAAATTTAAGAAAGAATCCATTCTGGTTCTGTTATGGATCACTACCAAATAATAGTAGAATACAGAAGACAATAAGTGACTCAGAGTATAGAAGCCCAAGAAGAAGAGGCTCCAGGCAGACCCAGGCTGAGATATTTATTTAATTACTCCTGTGGTGTCACAGAATCAGAACTCTAAATTCACCCTTGCTATCTATTCTTTGTTTCATTTGCCAGTCATTCTTAACTAATCCTTTCCATTGTAATTGTTAAGTTATGATCCCCAGCAAACATTTGATGCCAATACTCTCCTGCTCAGAGTATTGAGGCAGTGTCCTTCTAGAATTATGTTTCCTACTGGCTATATCTAAAGTTTGCTTTTCAGCTTCCTCCATAATTTTATATTTAATATCTCTGAGAATGAAAAATAATTTCTCTCTGATGCATCTTGCACCAGCTTTCTTCCTCTTTTCTTTCTCTTTTCCTATGTCTGGCTCTTCCATTGTGGTGATTTTGTTTTATACCTCCTAAGTTTCATCCTCACGATGAAGTTTTCATTGTGACTAGTTGCTTAGGTCAAGTATTGGCACTGTTGGAAATCTGGCATCTGTGGTTGAGGTTTTCGTTATACGATTTGTGATACCTTATGTAGAACAATCTGTTATATATATAGCTCCATAGAGAGTACCTAGAATCTTCCCATAGAGTTCCATAGGCGAAGCCGCAGAATGAGAGAGACTACTACTAATCTCAAATTCTTGCAGGGACCAAGAGGTTGGGGGAAGGCCAAAGTTGCCTTAAATTTTAAATGTTAATGCATATTCAAGAACAAGTTTATTAAATATCACAAGGGGGAAAAAAAAGCTCCCTCAGACCCATTTCTTTAAATTTAATCCTTAACTTATAAGGAAAATTCTGTATTTGACTTGCTGTAAGAAAACAACCCACAGTGTTTCAAAGTAATTCATCCGTGTTTACCAGCATCCAGAAAACACTCAGCCTGAAAGTTGGCTGACAGATGGGCCACGACATCACTCTCACACCTGCAGCCTCCTGCTCAGATCTTGACTGATCAGTTTCATTCTGTTAAGAGGGATATTACTGAAGTGACTTCAAGAAGTTGAAAGACAGATGTGGAGTCAGGCTACTGAGCTC